CTCTCTCTCTCTCTCTCTCTCTCTCTCTCTCTCTCTCTCTGTCTCTCTCTCTCTTTTCCTCAGTTTCTTTCTTTTTATCCTTGTTTCTTTCTTTCTCTTTTTCTCTTCCCATATATATCATGTTAAGTTTTAGCTATAGTCATATGAATTACTTAATTTTTTATACTGTAATTTTATAAGATAAGCGATAAGCATCAACACCATGGATTACCGGTCACTGGAGAAGCTGCTGACATGCCCGTACAACCCATCCCATCAGATATTACCACACCGTATGGCACAGCATCTCGTGAAGTGTAAAAAGGTAAAGATGATTTTGATCCGTATTTCAGAAAAAGTAAATGATTACTGGGGATATTAAGTGGTATGGGGCTTGATTATTCTTTGAGAATGAATTTTGTGGAATTGCTGTCTTTTATTGATTTTTTTCAAATTTTTTTGTGCATCATTCATTAATTTTTTTGTCAGTCTATACAATGCAAGACTTTTAATCTTCCCCATCTTTAGAGTCACCCTGAAGCTGACATGAAGGTATGTGTCTTTAATGCAACACATGTGGTACCTACTCACCTTTACCAAGTACACATCCTTGAGTGTCCAGATAAAGCTATTGTGGAGAGGGACATCTATAGAAGTAAGTTTTATTTGTATATGCTTATTTATTTTTTATCATATAATTTTTTCATTGTATTAATTACTACTTGTTTGTACAGTTTAGAGTAGAGGTTTGCCAAAACCCCAGCTAACCATCCCTACATTCAGTCTACATCACATGGATAAAACCTATCAGCCAAATCTGCCCACTTTATGTGTACATAGCTTGGATTGTGTATGCTGTAGATATGTTATTGATATAGAAATGAAGCCAAATGGAGAAATCAGATTTTAATTACTGTCATCCAGCTATACATATTATGAAGTTCGGATATATTTTTTCATTTTTAAAATTTGTTATACTCGGCAGATTATTTTTAGTCTTCAGTTCTTCATAATTTTCTGATACACTGTTTATATATAATCTCTTGCCAGGAAGAGAAGTTGAAAATAAATTGCAAGCTAAGAGGCAAGCCCCAAGACCTATGATACCAACGCATGCTGTATGTACTGAGGAAGACTGGGACTCTGAGACTGTTGCTTCATCTTACAACCCAACAGAGCACATCATTCACCGTGAGATAGCCAGGTAAATGTGCAGTTACATTCCTGAGGAATACTCACATGCTGTGAAGTTAGTCGATTATTAGTTTTTTGAGGCATGTAAAGGCATACACAGTAGCTATCATGATTATGCAACAGTGCTTTCGTGGAAGTGTACTTTTACTTTAGTATTTTGAAAAGGATGGGAATGAATTGTGTATAATTTAGGGGCTTTGCACTTGACAACGGTTTCTCCTCTTGAGTTTTACATTTTTGAGTAATGGGAAGAATTCTTCTATATATCAAGGCCACCACCTCCAGGCTTGGGAAAAGCAGGGAGGAGACAATGGCGTGAGGTGGAGCTGGAACGAATTCGAAGACTGAAAGCTGGAGAGTAAGTTGTTTGTGCTTTCTGTAAGACATTAAAAATGCCAATATGAATTTTTTATATATAATTTGCATGTATCTTGGAGTTTGTAAATGTTTAATGCATAACAAAGTTTGAAATGCATATTTCAGACCCATTGATGATCTGGTATATCCAGGAAAACCAGAAGAGCAGATGATTGGAAGTCAGCTTAAAATTCCCAGTGCGGATACCCTTAGCCATTCCCAGTCTTTCAGTAAGTTCATCGTTGAGACTAGACCCTTGATTGAAGAATCTTTCAGCAATTTCTGGCAATCCTGTTGTTTTTTGTGGTATAATTCCCAACTTGTAACTTGACAAATTACAGGCAGAATTATGTCAAGTACTAGTAGCCTGGTAATGCAGAGTGACCAACCTCTTCGTCGACCAAAGATTGAATTGGAACCGCATTCACGAATTGCAGCCAACATATTCCACAATGGTTCCTGCTCCAGTGTCAATTCTGTAAGTACCCAGTTCCATCACCATCCAAGTGTAAGAAGCATTTCCATTCAGTTATCACACTAAGTGTTCATTCTTGATTAATTTTGGTGTGAAGTTTAGCATTGCTTATCAGTGAAGTTACTATGTATATATGTATGTGTATATATATATTATATATATATA